CTCTCTCTCTCTCTCTCTCTCTCTCTCTCTCTTTGTTTATTTAATTTATATGTGGTGCTGAGAATCAAACCCAGTGCCTCACACATGCTAGGCAAAGCGTTTTACCACTGAGCCACATCCCCAGCCCAATTCTATATATTTAAAATATATAGTTTGAAACATTTTGACATCTGCATTAAACTATGCGCCCAGAAACTTCACCCCAATCAAGATGAGTGTACACGTCTCTCCCAAAGTTTCCTTTTGCTTCTTTTTAATCCTTGTATTCATGTCCCCAGGAAACAACTAACCTGCATTTGTCACTATGAATCAGCTCACATTTTCTAGAATTTTATGTAAATGGATCATACTATGTGCTCTTTTAAAAACATATTTCTAAATGAAAATTTTAAACATACAGAAAAGTACAGAACAGTAGCAGAATAATGAACTACACTACACCCATTCCCTAGATTTAACAATTATAATGTTTGCTTCATTTATTTTTTAAATTAATAGATTTTAAAATTCATAAATTAATATGTTTTAAAATTAATGACTGTTATTTTTAAATTACTAGGACTTTATAAACCTAAATAGCAGCTTTAATTGACAGAAAAAATTAAGCAGACATTGCAGAAAGTTCCAATATACTCCCTTTTCTACTGTACACATTTTGGTACATTTGTTATAACTAAAGAACCAACATTGGTACATTATTAATGATTAAAGTCCTTAATTTTCTTTAGGGTTCATCCTTTAGGTTATATCGTTTTATGGGGTTTAACTACATAATTTTGTTTTGGCTTCTTTCACTTACTATAATTATTTTGAGATTCAATTCTGTTTTATGTATATCACATTTCTTTTTATTCCATATTTCATTAAGTTGTTTACTTGTTGATGAACATTTGTGTTGTTTCTAGTTTGGAACTAATGCAGATAAGATTGTTATGAACATTCATTTATAAGTCTTTCATTTCCCTTGAGAGAATGCCTAGATGTGGAATGACTGGGCCATATGGTAGAAATGTGTCATTTTTTGAGAGTTTGGAAAAAATTTTTCAAGGTGATGGTGCCATTTTTTCCCCCCACTATCAGTGTTTGAGAGTTCTGGGTGATTCATACCTGTAATACTAGCTACTCAGAGGCTGAGGCAGGATGATCACAAGTTAGAGACCAGTCTGGGCAACTTGGTGAGATCCTGTCTCAAAAAATAAAAAGGGCTGGGGATATAGTTCAGTATCAGAATATCCCTGGATTCAATCCCTAGTACCTCCAAATAATAATAACAACAATGACTATTATTATTATTATTATCATTATTATTATTATTATTAATAGAATGGTAAACTGCAAGAACTAGGGAAGTTCTGAGAAACCTGCAATTGGACCTAAGGACTTGATGTTCTCATAATTCTCTTAGCTTTTTCTCTTTTTGTTTCTTCTGGATTTTATTTTCCTGTGCTGCTTCATGTATTGGAGTCTGTGGCCTCCAAGAAGAGGAATTTTTCCCACCAGCTTTACTTAGGAAAATTCTGAAGTGAAGTCTGATAGGCCCAGCTTGGGTAACCCTCATCTTTACATTGTCACTCTTTTAAAGGAGATAAGGAACTCAATTGATAAACTCTGGAATTTAGGTATAATGATACACAGTTTTCCCAAAAGGAGGGGACTCTGTTGTCAAAAGAAGTATGGGAAGTAGTTATTAAGTACTCCGACACAGTGCATGTCCAAGATGTCATAACATTCTCAGAAACAGAACTATTTGATGACTCCAAGGTAATAGATTACAGTCAGTGGGCTTTGTGAAATTCTCCTTGTTATATACTACCATTTAAACTATTGTTCCCAGGGCTGGGGCTGGGGCTGGGGCTCAGTGGTAGAGCACTCACCTAGCATGTGTGAGGCCCTGGGTTTAATCCTCAGTACCACATAAAAATAAATAAACAGAATAAAGGTATTGTGTCCATTTACAACTAAACAAAATATTTTAAAATAAATAAAAAATAAACTGTCGTTCCTGTGAAACTAATCTATTATACTTGGGCCACATGACATATTGTATACAACATGTAAGAAATGCTAGTTTTTACCACTTGGTTTATATATTTGTGAAGTTATGCTGATATTCTGTTTAAATATTATATGACAGTCTGTAGTCTTCATTAATATTTGTCTCTGCTTTTTATTGTAGGGTACTAGAAATGAAAACAAGAATATACTGTTTGTTCCTAATGGCTTTTAGTATATATTAACATATTGTTTATGATGGCATCTGAGACTGAGAAGACTCATGCTTTATTGCAGTCTTGTAGCACTGAGTCTCTTATTTCTAGCCTTGGTCTGGGGATATTTTGCTTAGTAGCTGACAAACTTCTTCAGTTTTCCATAATCCAACAAAATGACTGGCTTCGTGCCCTCTCAGATAATGCAGTACATTGTGTGATTGGCATGTGGTCATGGGCAATAGTCATTGGAATCAAGAAGAAGACTGACTTTGGAGAAATCATTTTGGCTGGATTTTTAGCCTCTGTTATTGATGTGGACCACTTTCTTCTAGCTAGATCTCTGTCTTTAAAGGTAAGAAGCATGTTTAATTTTTCTGGCCTTTTCCTTTAATTTATTTTGTACTTTACAGATTTCTTCATAGCATGAAAACTAAAGAGCTAGAGAGCGTATTTTAAAATGTCTAGAGCTAGAGTCTTATTTTACAGTAAGAAAGCCCATTCATTCAGCTTTTTTGAGTACTTAGTACTTCCCTAAAGATGCACACAGGCATGTTGATAATCACATTATTTGCTACTACAAAGTGCCATGGATGCACACAGAGTAAGGATCCTCTAATTATACCTGAGAAGTTCAGTGTTAGCTTACAAGGGATGTAATAGCAAACTAATTAACAGGAATCATTTTCTGTTCTTTTTGCATCAGTCACCTTTCTTTAGGACTACACTTAAATTTTTCCCCTTATTCTTCATGTTTTACAGTTAATGTGCAGCTCCTAAATGCGCCATGGAAGTTGAATAGTTTATGGTGGTTCTCAGTCCTGGAGAATGACTTGAATGGATTCATTCCTTCAGTCCCTCTTGGGACCAAAGGCATGCATATCAATGAACTGTCTAAAATACAGTGGAGGATAATATTATCTAATAATGTCTAGTGGAGATAATGTTGTCTAAATGTCAGATTTGCCTATCCTTGGCATGTTTATGACCTATAAACTTTCAGGAAACAAATATAGACTCATAAAGCAAGAACTTTGCTTCAGAAGCCACTGACCTAGAACAGTACCTGGATCACCTAGTAGGTGTTGAGTAAATATTTGTAGAATGAATGAGAAAGTATTACTCTTCCTATTATGTATCAAATACCAGCTATTTCTCAGAAGTTGTCTAACTTACTTATAAACTTACTCAGTAAGGAATTCAGTAATTATCAATTAAAAACGAACTTTAACTTATTTTTTTTTTGCTCTAAGTAGAGGCAGCATAACATTTTTGCTTAAAATTGGAATCAGAAGATTTGAGTTTGAATCCTTGTTGTGTGAAGTTAGCAGAGCACTTTTGTTCTTTAAGTTTTCATTCCTTCATTTATAAAATGTAAATTATACTATTATTTACCTCATGGGGTTGTTGTGAGGGATAAATGAGTGTGTTGAATGTCATGGCCTGGTAAACAGCCAATAATAAATGTTAGCAGAGATAGGGATAAGCTATGAAGCTTTATAGAAAATGTAATTCATAAACACATTCTTCTGGAACTTATCCTGTTTTAATTTTGAAAAACATTTAAGTTTAATAAATATATTTTAAAAGTTCATTTAGAAGTACTAGTTTGGGGCTGGGGTTATGGCTCAGCAGTAGAGTGCTCACCTAGCACGTGCCAAGCTCTGGGTTTGATCCTTAGCACCACATAAAAAATAAATAAATAAAATAAAGATATTGTGTCCAACTACAACTAAAAAATAAATATTTTTTTATAAAAACAAGTACTGGTTTCATGAATTCATGAGATACAGAGTCAAATCCAGTACCAAATCCCAGCTTTGCTATTAACTGCACAACATGGAAGAAGTTCTTGCCTTTTCAAGTCTCCATGTCCTCTAAAATACCACCTAACTCATAGGGTGGTTATGAGGATTAAAAACGATTATGCACAAAACCTATAGCATAGTATTATATTGGTCTATTGAATGAAGTTTTAGAATTTTTTTTTCACATTCACTGTCAGGTGGCACATGATTATCAGCAATAAATATCAAAACTCAGTAAGTATTCATGACAGTGGTCTATTTTTGCCTCAATGATAGGCCATTTTCTTCCTTTTCTATTCATGAGAATCTACATTGACATTTCAGAAATCAGACAAGCAACAAGAATATATTGAGGTTGTTTTAATCATCTTTTTATATTCATAAATAAAAATGTGAAAAATCAGTACCCCTCAGCACAGATCCAGAGCATAACCATGAATCATCTTGGTGTCAGGTTATTGGTTTTTGAAATACTTACTGTAAGCTGCTTGACCCCACCCTGCCAGTGAAAACCATGTGCTTCCTGTTAAATGTCTTATCAGTCTTTTCAACAATGCCATGATTAATCTTTTACTAACAAGGATTACAAACTTACCTTTTCTTATTATAGTGCATGAAAGTGCTCTGTGGTGGAAGGAAATGAATTGATTTAGATGTGAAGTTTTCTATAGAAGTTCTCTTAAACCCATCAGAAACTGTGTTGTTCATCTGAACTTTATTCAGAAATAAGGTTCTGATAATGATCATGTGTGGTTTTCGGTACAGTATACTTTATTTTCACATCAGAAAGATTACAGCTTATCTACTTGAAATAATCCTGCTACCATAAAATCTATCATTTTCCTACGTATATTGCTTTTAATGAAAGTTTTAGAACACTGTTCAAATTTAGTTAGCTGATTATCTATTCAGAAGTCTTTCTGTCTGGTTCTCAAAGCATAAAAGAAAAGATGTACCTCTAACAGTACACACACACACACACACACACACGTTGTTCACTCTTGTGCTCTTTGTAATTGCAGAGTACTAGAAAGAATGATATAACTACAACAAAATCTTTACTATTTTATTCCTCAAACTTTATTTTGGTTTACACTTTTCGAAATCTCTTTAGTTGGGAATATAATTCATCTATTTTTGTAATATTACTTTTACTGATAGGGAGTTAAGGTTATAAAGTTTTTCTAATTGTACTTTAAATGTATTCCATGGTTTCTAATTTGAAGTTTTTTTGTGTGATTAGTTTTGAAAAACCTTGTAATTCTGTTTGTATTCTCCTTTTTTTAAAAGAGTTGTTCAATAAAAAATTTAAGTTTTAATTAATAGGATGATGTACAAATTGTATAGCATAACATTACATTGGTCCTTATTTTTGAATTTAAAAAAATTCAAGGTGTATGGCCCTTTTTCTTATATAATTATTTAATATTTTTAATCATTTGTGCATTTCTTTTTGAAATTTGTTTTCTTTGTATTCAATATGTGATTGGTTTCTTCAAATGTTTCATGAACACTTGAAGAAGAATGTGTATTTCTCTGTTTTCAGAGTATATAATTCTGTAAGATAAATTTTATTGACTATATGGCTTGTGTCTTCTCTGCCTTTCCTTATTCCTCTCTTGATCTCTCTTGGATGGCACTATATATAAGCCTCTTTATTTATTAGAGTGTTTCTGTGTTGCCTTATGTCTTTAAAAAATTGTTGCTTTATTATTTGGTATATAGATATTCATTAGTTATATTTTCATGGTGAAATGTAGATTTTAGAAGCTTTTTAAAAATATTATTTTAATTGTAGGTGGACACAACACCTTTATTTTACTTATTCATTTTTATATGGTGCTGAGGATTGAATCCAGTGTTTCACACATGTTAGGCAAGCCCTCTACCAATGAGCTACAACCCCAGCCCTTTAGTGGCTTTTTAAAGATAATTTATTGCTTTTTACTCAAATTATGATTGTCTGATATCAGTATCACCACCCCTATTTCTTATTTGTCTGCTTTGCTTTTGCCCTTTTGTTTTGGGCCTTTCTGAATTTTATTTTATTTTTTCCATTAATATACAGCATATCATTGGATTTGGTTTTGCCAAATTGAAGGTCTTTTTCATTTAATGAGTGAGATAAACCCATTCATATTTATAAACATTATTGATAGCTTTAGCCTAAAATTGGCCATTATTTTGTTCAATTATGTGTATTATATTTGGTATATTCCTATCTCTATGATGTACTTTCTTTGTCATTTTATTTTTAAAATTTCTTTTGTTCTTTAGGAAGGCTTATATTTATATTCTAGTATTATTTCTGTTCATATATCTTTTTAATACTTATAGGCTTCTACTTTCTTAATTAACCTTTAACTATCTTGTTTGTTAATTGTTAATAGTATCTTTTAATTCTCAGCTATCAGCTAAACAACAATCTTAGAGCTCACTTTACTTTTTTCTTTCCCTCCTCTTCTCCTATTTTTTTGGTTGCTTTATGTCTTCTAAGAACGAACAATATCTATATATTATTTTTATACTCTTGTCCTCACTTTTAAGTCTTTTATTTACACTTAAAAATATTAAATGTTCATCATTAGTTTGCTCAGGTTTTCTTAGTCATTTCTTATTTGGGTGACGCTTATAGATTCCTCAGAAAGATTACATTTTTTGTGACTTCTTCCTTATTTAAAACAATTGCTAATAGAAAAATACTACATATTAAAATTGTTGCTAATATCATACTATTATTGTAGCCTTGGTGTTTAAAGGCAGCTTGGTTAAATATAAAATCCTTGGCTTACATTTTCTTTCCCTGAGCATTTTGAAAATACTGTTCTTTTGTTATCTTACTTTGTTTTGCTGTCATTGTTAAGTCCAATGCCATTGTAATAACTCTTGCTTTTCTATGTTATTTAGTCATTTTGCTTAGAGGCCTTAAAATTTTTTCCTTTACATTAATAGTTTTACCAAATGTATTGTGGATATATAACTACAAAGGTAGAGACAAAAGTGGAATAATAATACAGAAATGTTATATATTCTAATGAAATAGAAGTAAAACAACCTAAAATATGGAGGAGAAGGGGGAGTAAGACGAGTTTGGAATGAATTCTGATGTTTGAAGAATGCTAGCTTTACTAGATTCCTAGTTAAAGGTGATCTGATTTGACAGTGTGACAAGATACAGTCTCTTAAGAGGATAACTTTTTTTTTTAATGTGATTTTTTTTTTGAACAGGGAACCAATTTTTTGTTTTCTTCTCATTCCTTTATCCCTTCACCACTGTTTTAGCTATTTCGCTATTGTGACTAAAAAGATCCAACCAGAACAACTGTAAAGTAGGAAAAGTTTATTTGAGGGCTCATGGTTTCAGGGGTCTCAATCCATAGTACGCTGTATTCCTTAGGGCTCAAGTCAAGACAAGACATATAGAGGAAGAGTGTGGCAGAGGGAAGAGTCTCACATGATCTGGAAACAGAGGCAGAGATTCCACTCTCCAGATACAAAATATAGATCCCATAGCTACGCCCCCAATGAGTCATTTCCTCCAGCCACACCCCACCTGCCTCCAGCTACCACCAGTTAATCCCATCAAGGATTAATTCACTGATTGGGTTAAGGTTATGGCCCAATCATTTCTCCTCTAAACCTTCTTGCATTGTCTCACAGGTCACCTTTTGGGGGCCACCTCACATCCAAACCATAACAGCCACCCAGTTTCCAAAGAGCACCCTTCCCCTTCCCTTCTTTTTTACTCTCTTCCCCAGAGTCCATGCTTTTCAAAGCCTTGAATCAAGTACACTGGTAAATCCTTTCCCTGTAGTCACCAGGCCCCTTTTTAGTATTTTCACTCTTAGATTGAATTTCTCTTTCTCATGGTGCTTTTGTGTCAGTCTTAGGTTTCCTTTCTCTCAATACAGTTTTTTTTCTGGCTGTGGTGGGGTGAGAGGACTTGAGAGACCATTGATTTGGTGTTTATTTTAATACTTAACAGATACCTTGGAGATGGAGCATTCTCTGACTTCTAGCTATGCTGAGAGTTTGGGCTTTGTATACTTTTCCTTGTCTTTCTTGTTCTGTAGGTTTTTGGAGAATGTGTGGGGAGACACAGACCTATAAGATCATTGCTATCCTCAACTTTCTTTTTGCTAGGAGACACCTAACTGCAAATTGACCTTTAAAGTGGATAGGAACAAAATCTTACAGATCGTTCAGGGTTAAGCCTGAAATTTTCATTTGTTCAAATATTGATTATATTTTTTGCAATGATTTTAAAATTTTATTGATGTTTATTTAACTCCACTTTAGAATACTTGTTTAAAATAATGTGCTCTTTCTAAATATGGTAAGTAAATTTTGAAGGTATTCTGGCTAATACAGAATGGTTATAATAAAAATATTCTCCTTTTTTGCCTTCATTACATAGGGAATATTTTATTTGGTCATGAGATTTTGTTGTTGTTATTGTTGCTCTTAGAGTCCCAGGCAAATTGTTAAAAATTCAAATTATAGGAGGTAGGGATGACAGAGAGGATAATTAATGGGTGCAGGGGTGCATTTGCATAGGAAGAATAACTTCTAATGCTCTGTAGCATAGTAGGGTAACTATGGTTGACAAAAATTAACTTTATATTTCAAGATAGCTAATAGAAAGAATTTTGAATTTTTCCAGCACAAAGAAATGACAAATGTTTACAGTGGTGTCTATGCCCCTTACCTCAATCTGATCGTCACATATCACATGCATATATTAAAATGTCATACTACACCCTATTAATATGTACAGTTATTATGTGCCAATCAATCAAAAGCTTAAATTAAAAAAAATCAGAACTACACAAACCATACATTTAGGATATAAACTATGTTTATATGTTGACTTTTCTAAGCAAATAATAGAAAACTTAAAAAATTAATCACTGTGTCCTGAGGCCTTGATTTCATTTTTAATGCAAAGGATACCCTGCTCATGCTTTTATCTTCTTTGCTTTATATAAATGTGGCATATGTATTCTGAGGTGGCATTCTTCCCTTACATTTTCTTTGCATATGTTAAGATTCAGAAGCAGCTAGAAAGTGTTGTTTTGCCAAGAAGGAAACGATACTTCCTGCTTCCCCCACAGGCAGCTTTGAGTCTTCCACAAAGACCTTTCTTTCACTGCTCTACTGTGATACCCGTTGTGGTTCTGATCCTGAAGCTTACTATGCACCTTTTCAAGCTCAAAGATTCATGGTGTTTTCTTCCTTGGATGTTATTCATATCCTGGACGTCGCACCATATTCGAGATGGAATTCGTCACGGCCTGTGGATGTGCCCTTTTGGAAAAACTTCTCCTTTGCCATTCTGGCTTTATGTGATAACCACATCATCTTTACCTCATATCTGTTCATTTGCTATGTATTTAACAGGGACCAGACAAGTGATGTCTTCAAAACATGGAATTCATATTGATGTCTGATGTAACTACATGGCTCATAGAGAAGTAAATGGTTCAGATGATGATAATGAAGGGTTGCCAACATTAAAGTGAATTTTTAAAACACAGATACTTATATTGTTTAATTTTTATAATTTTTGAGTACTTCTTGCTCAGAAAGTTATCTATAATTTTCTTAAAAATTTTATTTATAGTGGTTGGGTATGGTGGCACACACCTATAATCCCAGCAACTTAAAGGCTAAGGCAGGAGTATCACAAGTTCCTCAATTTGGCAAGACCCTTTCTCAAAAAAAATAAAAGGGTTGAAGTATATAGCTCAGTGGTAGTACAATTCCTAATACCATAAAAAAATTTGTTCTATATCTCATATATGTCACTCTAGTGCAATACTAGACTCTTTCTTATGCCATGATATGTTTTTATTGCTGCTTGTGTTTCTGTGGCTTTATTAGTAGTTTTGTTAGATTAACATCCAGTTAGTTGTCTGGGATTATACTTGTAAATTAGTCCATTTCCTGATAAAAAGCTTAAATTTTAGGATGACAATTTTATGGAAAGTTAACCATATTTGGGTCTACTTTTTCTTGAAATGTTGAAACAATGAGGTGACCAAAATAAATGAGATTGTGAATAAGGTGCATAGTGAGGGCTGACATGTATTTGTTCCACATATATCAATTCTGACAGAAACTTAACTTTTAAAATACTTTATGAGTTATGATTACTGGCAAAATCTGATTCAGAGCCCTCGTAAGACATCATAACATTCATAAAAGACAGTGACTCACATTAGACCTAGGTTATGATTTCAGAAATCTATTTAAGATATAGTTATAACATGTTAACTGTAGTTACATTTACTGAATTAGAATTTTTTAGTATCTTCACTCAAGAATCTCATGTCAGTGTTTTAAAAAACATAACCAAATTTAAAAAGATGTTTGTTAACAAATAGCATTAACAAAATGCTGGTACATATCATTTTAAAGGTAAACTCCTGATTGTGCCATTAAAATGGTTTTAGTTGCTATCACTTTGTCTATACCCTGTTCTAAAATATTGTACTAATTAAATCATCTTTTTAAAATCTGCCTGATATTTCAAGGATACAACTTTTTTTTCCTAAACAAAGTAGTTTTAGGAAATTTGCTTTTTCCTTTGTTCTTTCAGATGGATCTTCTACTAAAATGATTAGTATGTATTACAGGAGGAAAATTTAGTTGCTATAGACTTTATATTTGCACAGTTTCATGTTACTTTGATATTAAAGTCAGTATCCCAGAGGAAACCTTCTTTTCTTTGTGACCTATGTGTTATCTGTTATCTTCAGATTTTCTTACAGATTTGTGAATTATAATGCTAGCAATGTTGTGCCTTATTCTCCAAGAAAGCAATGCCTTATCCAAAGCAGAGTTTTATTATCTGTTAAGTTAAAGAGAACTCTCTAAATTGTTAGAGAGGTTCAAGATCCTCAGAGAAGTAACCATTTTTCTTACTGTTAAATTTGTTGCAATATGTTATGTTTTACAGTCTATTAGATCTTATCATCTGTTATTTATTATTTTTTAAGAGTAATGATTATGTATATTTGTGTGGTATAGTAGTGTACATTATATAATGGGGAAAATTTGTTTAGAGATTTTTAAAAAGCATTTGATTTAAGAAATTCATGGAAATAAAGTCTTATCTGTGTAACATGTTCTAAATTACAAAACCCTACTTTTTTCTTTAATTATATTAAACAAAAAAAATTAAAGGGCCTTATTTAAGAATTTCATGTTGGCATTTGGGGGATTGTACAACTTTTTCTTAATTAGAATGGGAATTCACTTTGACCATCAATCACGCTTTGCTTAAATAGTAACTGGAAACTTCATGTGTGGGTCTACCTCAGTTTTTACCCCTACTGTCAGAAACATTCCTCTTCCTTTAAATGGTCCCTGAAGCTATGATTGGAGCCTCCAGGAAACCAGCAATCATCTCCACATGTCACCACTTTGCTCTTGCTCCTAATGAAAGAATTTGTGTCAATGCAACATCACATGTTGTATTGTATTTCGTTTGCCTGCTTGTTTTCCCATCCTCCACACATTGTCTGTTCACTTACTGTCTGTCTCTCTGGGCTGTTCGACTGATCTGACTTCCCAGACTGCTATTTTCTTGAGCTATGTTATTCCTTCCGGCTTTTTAGAAACTGCTTCCACTGAAAATTTTCTGCTCATCCCCAAGTGTTGCCAACTGGTAACAGCTTAGAGTCTTCACAGAGGCCTGGGGAAGGAGCTCTGACCAAGAAGATAACTAAGGTGAGCCTTAGAGAAAATAGAGCAGACAGGACAAACTCACCATGGACCTGCACTGATGAGATGAACTGGGTTCAAAGGAGTTGGCTGCAACATTAAACTCAGAAAACAGCAAAGAAATTACGCAACACACAGACATGAGTGTCTCAGATCGAGTGTGGGACTGCTCTGCCACCTTAAGAGTCAGCTTCCAGGCTGGAAGGTGCTGGAAAAAGAGAGCATGCACACAGAATCTCTATTTTTATAGGGGGATGGGGACACACAAAGGAGTTTTGAGAGAATATTCCTCCGCCAAACAAGGCAGGGGATAAGGTTTCTAAGGGGGGTTGTCCAATCCCATTGGGTAATGGCCAAGTCCTGGGCTAGAGCAAAATACTTTGCCCAGCAAAGGGAGGTCAGTTGCTTTGCACAGTGCGTAGTGTTCAATGCCAGACCAAACACCCTTCTTACTCAAGGCTGAGAGAGGATGCTCAGCTCATGGGCAGGGCGGTCTCCCACACTAAAGGTTTATATTTTCAACTTACCTAAAGTCCAAGTCAGGCCTATAGATATATGTGGGAGAACACACTTTTTATACTAGGAGTTTCCGTTGTTGGACTTTGTTTCCCAGAGCTACTGAAGGATGATTGAGGTCATTTAGTCTTGTGTTCTGCCTTGAAATTGGACAAGCCCAGTGATTAGCAACCATACTTTTACAACTTTCAAGAGAATTTCTAGTACTTTTGCTTTTTATATCTGGTTGCAAAGAAAATAGAACAGTTTTTTTTCTTTTCACATTGTCAGTATGCATAAAGTCTGCATATACAAAGTCCAATTTATGATATAATAGCTATAAGGCTCACAGGCACCTTGCACAACTTTGTGGCAACCAAGAAAACATCAGGATGGCAGAATAGGTGATGCCCAAACCTCTGAGTATGAAATTCTGTAAAAACTTTTAGATACCATTGCCATATTTTAAATACTGTAAGCATAAATAATGACATATCTTATGCTGTGTATTATTAAATTCTCCTTTAAAAGCAAACTATTTCATATGATTGCACCAGCTAATATCTAAATGTCTAGAAAATTAGAAATTAGAAATCCACAACATCTTTTGATTTTTTGAGAGGAGAAGCAACTCTTACTCCTCCATGGTTGGTTCAGGAGCCATGCTGAGAAGTTGAGAACTGTGCTGGTTTCTTCCCTGCTGTGTCCAGCTGAATTTGACTAGAAATGTACAGAACCAAAAATAGTTGTGCTTATGTATCATTTGGCAGGCAGTGTCCAATGCTTTGTATATTTTGTGCCTCTTCTAGATGTCATTACACATTAACAAAGAACAAAGAATAGGATCTTTACCAATGTGCCAGTGCATCCAGCCAAATAATGCCATGTTATTTGATCCCTGTTGTACTGACTGCAAAATATATTATACATACAGCCAGTCATTAATAGCATATGTAATAAATGTGCAGACAGATTTCCATTTGTTTTCCTGTGGTCCTTCTCTGTGACCAAATCATAATCTTAATAATGAGAAAATATTGAACTGTTATTGATTCTAAAGATAGAACCCTTAAGGATTACTAATTTCCTCTATGTGATGCATTTTCTCTCGTTTATGTGTTGAAAGACATACTGAATTTAATTCTAATGCAATCTGCAATGTGAGAGGTTGATTTTTATGCAGTTTTATAATGAACTTAGAGATATTTTGTGACAAGGTTATTTTTAACTCTTCATTTACACCAAGAAATGTTTATTTCTGATTATTGCAAATGATTTCAAGTATTGTAATGGTAATATGTTTTCAAAATAATCTATTTAAATTGGAAATCTTAAGACATTCAATCTAAAATGCAAAATAAAACAATGAGGCTTGTTTATCTTCTGCTTAGAAATTTTTAAAAAGATTTATAATACTCAGTATTAACAGGAACTATCAAGAAATGGGCATTATTGGTAGAACAATAAATTTACATTTTATTGTAAATTTTGTTGTAGAATTTTGTAGCATATTTTAAAAGTGCAAGCTATTTTACCCAAAAATTACAATTTTAGGAATTTATTTCCAGAAACTAAGCAGGTATGTATGTATACAAAGGAAAGGGATTTGTTGGTTACTTAAGATGGCAAAAATAAGCTGGATGCTGTGGTGCTCACCAGTAACCCTAGCTACTTGGGAGACTGAGGCAGGAGGATCACAAGTTCAAAGCCAGCCTGGGCTACTTAGTAAAATCCTATCTTAAAATAAAAAGGGTTAGGAGTAGTAGAGCACTTACCTAGCATGTGTGAGGCTTTGGGTTCAATCCCCAGTACTGAAAAAAGAAAAGAAAAAAGATGGCAAAAACAAAACTGGAAACCACCTAACAGTCTTTGACTGGAGGATCAGTAACCTGACGCATTGTACAGACAATAGAGTACAAATGCCTAGTATTAAATAGACGAGGTAGATCCATGTGAAAATATATGTCTATATGAAATATTTTTTAAAAGCCAGTAATAGAACTGCATGATTCCAGTTTTGTAAAATAGGCATACATAGGTGGATATGTGTAGAAAACAATTTTGAGCTGGCTAGGTGGTAGAGTGCTTGGCTAGCATGCATAAGGCCCTGGGTTCAATTTCCAGCAACACACACACACACATACACACACACACATACACACACACACAAATTGAAACATTAACTACTAAGTAGTTGAAAATGATCATCTCTGGAGTTGAGGGTCATGAGAAATTTCTGCTTTTACTCTCTATATTGCGTCATGTTTTAAATGAGCATATATGCTTTTTAAATATTTATTTTTAGTTGTAGTT